TTTCCAGGTTTAGCCATTAGGTGCCCTTTCGGGCTGCCTCCTGTGTTTTCATATCCCATCACTTTAGTGTTTTGTTACTTTCTGGTACTGCAAAATGTTCCAGTTTCATCTTATATTTTCCCTGTTCTATCCCTGCTAGAGGAGGGCTTGAGGAGCCAGGGCTCCTTGTTCTTGAGGAGCCCAAGTTTATTTTTTATTTTTTTAAAATTTATCTATTGTTGAGCATATTACAGATGTCCCCCATTTTCCACCCCTGGCCCCCCTCTACCCAGTTCCTGCCTCACCCCAGGCCTTCACTACACTATTGTATGTGCCCACGGACTATGCATATATGCATATACGTTCTTTGGTTATTTTCTGCACCAAGTTTCTTTTTATTTTTGGAGAATAGTGTTTAGAAACCAAGATTTGGGTCCTAAATGTTGCTATTGGAATATCATTGCTCCTAGGTCCCCTCAGGGACAGAACTAGGAAATATTAATATATATATAATAGCTACATTACAATGAATAACATAATCTTATTGAAATGGGTGGGGGAAAACTGAATGTTTATTGCAGTGTTTATTTTAAATATTTAGAAAATTAGCAAATTTACTCAGTGCATAGATTGCACTAATCTTTGTTCAGCAAATTAATACAGGCATGTATACTAGCCATTTTTTGAATCTCTTACAATGGAAGGTAATAGTAATATGTCTTCTGATTTGTTAATCAGATTTAGAAAGTAGATGGATTCACTATATAAATAGTCAATGAATTAACAGTGAACAGCTTGACTGACACCTGGGAACTGTGAGGTGTCTGAAACATTAAAAGTTGATGAGAATGGGAGACTTCAGGTAGGAAAACAACAGGGTTGTGAATGGCCAACTAATAGAAATAAAGTCATGCTTGATATTGTGTTAATGATCTAGTCTAGTATTACCTGGATTTAAAAATAAAGAAGATTGTTTGCTCAGTGACAAATTTGTGTTTGGTAATCCTCATTGTTAAGTTAGAAAAAAGAAGAGCTCAGTTAAGAAACATAACCATATTTTAATTACCTTATGTGATATTTTGGAGATTCTTAAAATGCTACATTTGTATTATTTTTTATACATTTGTAGATTAGTCAGCTCCAGTTGCCATAAGAAAATACCACAGATTTGGTGGCTTGAACAATAGAAGTTTATTTTCTTACAGTTCTTATGGCTGGAAGTTTGAGATCAGGGCGCCATTGGGCTCTAGTGAAGACTCTCTTCCTGGTTTAGACAGCCGGCTTCTCTGTGGGCCTTGCCATGGCCTTTCCTCAGTGAGAGAGCCCTCTTCCCCTCTTACAAGGCCCACAATCCTATCTGATTAAGACCCCTTCCTTATGACATTATTTAAACCTTAATTACCTCCTAAAAGTCCTATCTCCAAATACAGTTACATTGGGGGTTGAGACTTCAACACATGGATTTTAGGTGGGACACATTTCAGCCCATACTAATTTGGACGATGTATTTTAATGTTCCTAAATAATAAATGTAATTTTAACTTAATAGGTTTATATTAAGCCTGTGTTTTGACAGTTTTGACAGAGAATGAATCTGTGTTCATTCTCACAATAATTTGCCTTAATAAATTAAGATATGGCAGTATATAGTATGTGCTGTATCCTTTACAGAGCAGGGTGTATATGCTCCTTACGTGGGAGTGCTGCGAAAGTGCTGTAGGATCATTGAAACCTTCCAGCATCTTTCTTTGACAATAGCTCTGCTCTTCTCTTCAACTCCTCTTATGTCGTGGCATACTTTTGGCTTTGTCTCTGATTTCTTTTAGCAGTTTTCTTATAGTTTCTATAATTTATAGTAAATTGCATTGCAGTGATGTTATGCCCTTCATAATGGAAAAAAAAAAGGTTTCTACCAATCCCTAATGGACCGCTGATCTTGCTCCTCTGCTTCTTAGATCATTTTCTTAGAGAATTTAGAGGTGTAGTAATACAGTTGATTGTAAAAGTCCAGGTAAATAACTCTTTCTTTGTTTGTTTGCAGCGACTTTACTAGTATTCTGACTGTTACTGATTAGAATACAAAAGAAAAAGAAAAATGGAATATGTGTTGCTTACTGTACTATGGTCAGCTCAGCTAGAGCACATTTAGATTATGATGTTGTAGTATCAGCTCTCGTTAGCCAAATGCTTATGATAGCACTTACAACACAGGAGAAAAATTCAAAGTAAAAGGGCAATGTAATGTATATAGTATTACATATTTTAAGGAAAATATGTAAAAGAAAAATGGTGTTATAGTGTTATGTTAATAGCAGTATCTGACATTAATTAGTGTTAGAAGATACGTAAATTTCAGCCAATTTTGTTTATGTCTCTTCAAGGGTATTGTGGCAAACATTGGAGGTGTTGCCCACAAGGACTTTTATTGTGTTAGATTTGGGCTCAGCAAAATCAGGCAGGGTATTAGTAGCTGAGTGTTGGTTAATGAGAGAAGCTCTAATGAGAATAGAAGTTGAAAAAGTAGAAAGCTTCTCTTCCAAGGAGATAAATCCAGCCCATAAATAGAAAGTGAATAAGGTTGTAAGTAGATATGGATTAGGGCAAACTATTTGGGACTAGGAAGAGGAAAAATGTGAGACTGTCAGGTGCCTATTTTTTATGTGATACAAAAATGGTGGTGTGGTGGCCAAAAAGAGGCAGTAAAACCGGTCAAACCCTCTAGTAAAGAAAAGAAAATTTAAAGCCAGGCAACCACTGTTAGTATCTAACATATTTTTTTGGCCTGTGGTGGTTTAGGAAAGTCTGAGTTAGTAGTAGTTTTTTCTTTCTAGCTAGTAAGGACTACAAGATCTGGAAGGGATACAAGTACACAGAGATAATATCCTCTGGCTTTCCTTTTTATCTTACATGGTCCTATAAACATTGGAGACATGTGCTAGCTACCTGATATTGCAATTTGGAATTGTCAAAGAACTGTGAAGGGTCTGAGAGTTTATCTAAGTCTGTGACAGTTTCATGGATGTTTGCAGAAACTCCTGGATTAGAGATAAAGGACTTGATTACTCATGGCCCAGCAAGCAACACGAGCTTCATGTTTATGATGGTCCTCCTTGCCCCTCAGTCTCACAAAGGTGTTTTGAGTAGCTCAGGTGGATCCTGCACTCAAAGTAGGTTTTCACCACAGCCGAGGAACCCAAAGTTTAGAGAACCCTTATCTTTTATTATTATTATTATTATTTTTAATACATCTTTATTGATTTCAGAGAGAGGAAGGGAGAGGGAGAGAGAGAGACAGAAACATCAATGATGAGAGAGGTATTGATTGGCTGCCTAGCCCGCAACCCGGGCATGTGCCCTGACCGGGAATCGAACCCTGATCTCCTGGATCCTAGGTCGATGCTCAACCGCTGAGCCACGCCCGGCGGGGCACCCTTATCTTTTATAGTGGTGTGACAGCATGTCTGCCTGACCTTTGCTCTAGAGGGAGATGACATCATGATTATTACTGGACGGTAAACAGGCTCACTGATCTGGAGGAAGACATCATCTCTACTTTTTAAGGTCATTTCCTATAAACATATTTGAAAGAATAAAGGCTCCAGAACCTCTTTTTGAAAAACTATAGAAATACAAGACACCAATGGAAAATTGTCTCCCAACAGGAAGTGATTAGTATGAAAAGTCCTTGAGCTCTGAGTGTTCTTGGCTTTTTTACTCTGCACTAGTTTTCCTAGCTTTTAAATCAGAGTTGGAAAACTTTCTGTAAAGCGGCATGTATTAAATATTTTAGGCTTTGTGAGCCAAATAATTTCTGTCACAAGTATTCTATTTGGCTGTTATATTAGGAAAGCAGCCATAGGTAATACATAAATGAATGAACCTGGATATGTTTCAGTAAAACTTTGTGGACATTGAAATTTGAATTTCATATGATTTTCACACATCACAAAATACATTTTTTTTAGCCATTTAAAAATATCCATTCTTAGCTTGTGGGTTGTACAGAAAACAGGTTGCAGGCCAATTTTGGTTTGTAGACCATAGTTTGCCAATCCATTTTATATGATAAATTTTTAAAATAATGCCCGGCCGGGCGTGGCTCAGCGGTTGAGTGTCGACTTAGGATCCAGGCAATTGGGGTTCGATTACCAGTCAGGGCACATGCCTGGATTGCAGGCTCGATCAATGACTCTCTCATCATTGATGTTTCTGTCTCTCTCTCTCCCTCTCCTTTCCTCTCTCTGAAATCAATAAAGATATATTAAAAAATATATATATATATAATACATTGTTTTAATACAGCAGTCTTGTATATGAATAATAATTTTATGTAGATTTATAGATATAGTATATATAAATATTTTATAGTAATTGATAGTTCTAAAATGTTTTCTCATAAATTATCTCAATTTAACTTCAGAGTAAACATGCAAGATAAGCATTAGTATTTCCATTTTATGGTGAGACAAGTAATGTATAGAGAAGGAAGATAACCTACCCAATGACAGAGCCAAGACTAATTATATTCTGAACTCTTTTCTCCATATTATGGTACAGTTTCAACTTTGAATAGTCAGAGCATCATGCCACTATACCTTTAATACTCATTTGTTGCCAGAAGGCTTAGAGTTCAGTCTTAAAAATAAAGATACTAATAATGCATACTCATTTTTACTTTTCTTCATTACTAAATTCTGCTGTGTAGCTATTTTAATATTAATTGGTATTTTGACAAAAGCTAGATATAGGAGGTGAAGAGTATGTGTTACAAAGTTTGGTAAATATTTGGCAGCTGAACAGTAGTCATTCATATAATATATTTTTCACATTTTCAAAGATAATAGTTAATTTTATTTTTAGATGTACACCATGAAAATAAACAGTAAGGAACCCTTCTCCCCCATCATTTGTATTCATGCTTAACTAATATTTTAATTTATCTACTGTGCTATTCAGATTTTTAAATTGGACATGTTGAGAACATTTTCTATAATGTACTTTTTGGATTGCTACCCTATCAGGTGGTTGAAGATTATGCTGGAAGATGGCAGGTCCCTTTGCCACAGCTTCAAGTTCTTCAGACTGCACTTTCCTGTTTTACATCAGCCAGTGCATCATTCCCAGATGAATGTGAGCACGTACAATATGTTTTGAGTAGCCTTGCCTTGTAAGTACACTTTACTACTTATAAAAATATTACTTATCATGAGGTAATTGAAAATTGTTTTTTGGTTATTTGCGGAAGGCTCCTAAAGTCTTCCTTCAAAAAGAAATTGCCATTTCTTCATTTAAGTATTCATGTTTAATTTTGAACATTTAACCACAATTTTATTTTTAGTTTTACTGTTAAATGGAATTGTTTATAGATAATTATGTCACTACCAGCACTTTCCTTGTTTTTTCCCCTTTCCTTTTTAATTCCCCAGATTGCCTTGGCAAGCTGTAATGGTAACTCCCAGAATACATCAATTAGGGCCATTGTAATTAGCAGAGGGACCTTAAATTAGCCAGAAAGAGGTTAGGAAACTCCTGGTATTAAAAAATACTTGTAGAGGACTTTGAGTTAAAGATCAAAGACTGAGGACTTGCGTTTATCCTTTTTACCCTCGTAGATCCTACTCAAATTATAGTAAAGAAGTATAAGAGAAAAATACAGTGAAAGGAAAAGAGAGAAGAGTCATCAGTAAATGAAAGATTTCAACGGTTTTCTGAGGGACAGTAAACCTAGATGAGTGGTCATTGAAACATGACAGAGAAAGTCACAATTTAATTTGTTTTTTTGTGTGCCTCAAATTGCACTCACATCACAATGGTGGGTTTTTATCAACATTACAAAACACAATAGAAAATATGAGTACGTCTCATAGGACAAGTTTTATTTTGTGAAAATCATATTTTTTTATATACAGAGTGGGGCAAAAGTAGGTTTACAGTTGCGAGTATGCAATACCCAAAGTTTATTCGTATATTTATTAATTATTGTATTAGTTTCCATACAAACAATTGTAAACCTACTTTTGCCCCACCCTGTATTTGTTTTTATGCACAGTCATGCACCACATAATGACGTTTTGGTCAATGACAGACCCTTGTATGATGGTGGCCTCATAAGATTATAATGGAGCTGAAAAATTCCTGTTGCTTAGTGTCTTAGCAGAAAGGTTGCAATAATCATCAAGGCTGTGGTTGAGATGGCAAACAACTTTAACCAGGATGTGCATGAGAATGACACTGAGGAAGTCCTAGAGGTGGTTCCTGAAGAATTGACTAATTAGGAGGTGGAACTGGAAAAGCAATGTATAGCTAAAGAAGAGGAAAGAGAAAAAAAAAATGCAGAAGAACAGGAAAAAAATTCCCAGTACAGGATTTAGCAAAAGCTTTGGAAGACCTCATCAGGCTTCTTAAAAGTTTGAAAACCTGAACTCTCAACACCACAAGGTTTTCATTAATAGAAAGGAATGTTCATGGTGCATTATCTGCTTACAAGCAAATCCATGAGGAAAAAAAGAAACTGCCATGGACATATTTCTGAAAAGAGTGAGACCTCAAGAAGAGACTCAGACAGGTCTTTCAGGAGGTGTTCCAGAAGAAGGAATTGTTATCATAGGAGAATACAGCTCCATGTGTGCTACTGCTCCTGAAGACCTTACAGGGGGGACAAGATGTGGAGGTGGAAGACAATGATATTGATGATCCTGACCCTGTTTAGGCCTAGGCTAATTTGTATGTTTGTGTCTTAAGTTTGTTGGGTTTTTTTGGTTTTTGTTTGAAATATGTCTTTATTGATTTCAGAGAGAGGAAGCAGGGGGAGGGAGAGAGACAGAAACATCAATGATGAGAGAGTCATTGTTCAGCTGCCTCCTGCATGCTCCCTACCGGGGATCAAGCCCACAACCTGGGCATGTGCCCTGACTGGGAATCAGACCTTGATCTCTTGGATCATAGGTTAGTGCTCAACCACTGAGCCTCACTGGCTGGGCTGTGTCTTAAGTTTAACAGAAAAGTATAAATATTAAAAAAAATTTAAAAATGCAAAAAATATAGAATAAGAATATAAAGAATATTTTTGTACAACTGCACCACATATTTGTGTTTTAAGTGAAGTGTTATTACAAGAATTAAAAAGTTAAAATTAAAAAGTTTATATAGTAAAGTAAAAATGTTATAGTAAACTAAGGTTAATTTATTATTAATGAAAGAAAAACATTTTTTAATTAATTTAGAGTAGCCTAATGTGTTTATATCTACAATAATGTACACTAATGTCGTAGGTCTTCACATTCACTCACTCACCACTCACTCACTCACAGCAACTTCCAGTTCTACAAGTTCCATCCAAAGTGAGTGCCCTATATAGGAGTTCCATTTTTTATTCTTTTAACTGTACCTTTTCTATTTGTAGCTATGTTTAGATACACAAATACTTACAGTTGCCCATAGTATTCACTACAGTAACATGCTGTACTGGCTTGTAGCCTAGGAGCAATAGGCTATACCTTATAGCCTAGGTGTGCAGTCAGCTATACCATCTAGGCTTGTGTATGTGCATTCTGATGTTCACACAATGCCAAAATCGCCTGTTGACTCATTTCTCCGAACGTATTCCTGTTGTTAAGCAACTCATGACTTATTTGTAAAACATTTTTTAAAACTGCAGGTACCAATTAAAACAGAATTATCTTCTGCCTTAAAAAATAGAAGGAAGTCATCTGCCCTTCCTCCCTACCCCCAGAATCCTAGAGAGGTGTAGAATTTGAACATGCAAGGTATGAAATAGAGAGTAAGGAATGAGATACTTTGGGAAGATGCAGATAAAGGTGGTAATTGCAGTTTTTCCTTTACTTGGCCAGTTACCAGCCTTAGGGCCAAGAGTAGAGTGGGAAATGCTATTGCTACCTTTTTTTTTTACATTCTGGCAATGCTGTCTCTTTGAGACAGGTAGTCAGTTATCCTAAAAATAAAACCTCACCAGTCACCAAACTCCCAATTAATTTGCTTATGGCCTTATTATTCAAACAATGTGTGTGGCTGTTTTGTTCTTACTGTATGTCATGTAGAGTATTTTGTTCTTGACCTCATTAGAATGGTGGGGTTTTCGTTCTTTTCTTTCAGTATGAAAAAATACAATGAAAACAAGCAAACAGAAATTCTGGAATAAATAGTGTTAGTATTGAAAACAAAAAAATTAAAAGAGAAAAAAATCTACATTTAGTATTTTCAGAGAGAGTTGAGAAAATACGTATAATGTTAAAACATCAACATACCCTGCTGTGTGAAAGGAATAATGAGATACCAAAAATGAGTCTGTAGAAATTAAGAAAATATGATGGTTAAAGTGTAAAGTTCTGTGGAAGTTTGGAAGGTAAAGTTGAAGAAATAGTGCAGAATGTAAATCAAAACTGAAGAGAAGGAATGTGTCAAAAAAAAAAAAATATGGTGGCTCAGTGTAGGAATTTCATTATTTAACTAGTTGGAGTTCCAGAAAAGAACTTAGAGAAAATACATCGAAGGACGTTTTCAAAGACAGTAAAACAGTTTACCAGAATTAAAGTTACAAACTTCTAGGCTGAAAGAAATGAACAGGTGCTCAGCACAATGAATATGAAAGATATTCAGCTAAATACATCATCTTGCAATTAATCTTGAATACCTACAGATGAAAAATTAGGTCATCTATAAAGGTACAAATATCAGATTGATATCAGTCTTCATACAGCCAAAAGTGGGTGGTAAAATATAATTAATCACTATCCCTAATGATTTGAGGGGAAATTATTTTCAATATTGAATTTTATACTCATTCAAACTGTCAGTGGAAGTGTAAGAGTAGAAAGAACATTTCCAGGTATGTAAGGACCTAGAAAATTGACTTGTCCACATATCCTTTCTTGGGAAGTTACTAGAGAATGTGCTCTAGATGAGGGTGTCATAAAAAGACCAGATGACAGTGATTCTAGGAAATAGTGACTTTTACTTAAGATAGAGGGAAAATAAGTCCCAGGATCGCTGCTGAGTAAGGTCTTACAGATATGTCACCTCCAAGAAATAAATATCCAGTAAAAATTGATATTTGAGACTAACTTTGAGAATTTGGAACCATTTAAGGTAGTGATAAAAATAGACAAGTCAAAGGAAATAAAAAGGGAATTAGATACTCCAGGAAAATTAAGAATAATTTGAATAGGAAAGGACACAGAGTCATAGCAAACTACTTAGATGTGTATTGAAAGTTATGTAATTTTCTTAATGTAAATGATATTTATTGACTTTAACCTTTTAAAGTAAAAATAATATAGAACAAAGGGAACGCTTTCAATATGAGAATATTTAATGGAAGTTGTAAGTTGAAAGTGAAGGAAAGAGCACCAATATCCTTTTTTTAATTCTTTTTTTTTTTAAGTTCTTTATCTTTATTGTTGAGAATATTACAGATATCCCCTTTTTATTCCCATTGATCCCCTCTACCCTGCATCCATCCCACCCCCAGGCTTTCCCCATACCAGTGTCTCTGTCCATGGGTTATGCTTCTAAAACATATAAGTTCTTTGATTAATCTCTCCCCACCCACTCCCCCCTCCCCACCTTTCCTCTGAATTCTTCCTTTAATTCTTATTTTACAAAGTGAAGTATCAGTAGTACATGAAGCCATAAATAAAGCTGTAAGTAAAGTTATAAAGATAAATAATAGAGGAACTGATAATATTAATAAATAACTATTGGAAAGTCAAGAGATAATATTTAAAATTGGCAAATCAAGAGGTACTAGCAAAGCTTATTATCAACAGCTGTTAAAAATACTCAAAGTTGTTGATTCTAGGGTATTGAACTAGTGAGAGAGAGCTCGAAACCTTTCTATACCCGTAGCATTTTTAAATCTTGAAGATGTGTCAATTTCATATATTTGAACTATATAATTTTTGTTTTATGTATATATTATAATTTAAAAGAGTACATGTATTTTATGCTTCTTTAAAGGTTTATTTGTATATATTTAAAATTGTAGGGGGGAACTCTGTGAGGTGATGGATATGTTAATCAGCTTGATTGTGGTGATTATTTCACCATCTTATGTGTATCAAAAATTACGTATACACTTTAAATATATACAATTTCTATTGGTCAGTTATACTCCAGTAAAGCTGAAAAATAATTGTAGATGAGAAGGAA